CTAGGAAAGACGCCTCCTCAAGGTGGAGGAGGAGCGGAGGAAAGACGCCTCCCCAAGGTGGAGAAGGAGCGGAGGAAAGACGCCTCCCCAAGGTGGAAGAGGAGCGGAGGAAAGACGCCTCCCCAAGGTGGAGGAGGAGCGGAGGAAAGACGCCTCCCCAAAGGTGGAAGAGGAGCGGAGGAAAGACGCCTCCAAAAAGGTGGAAGAGGAGGAGGAGGAAAGACGCCTCCCCAAGGTGGAAGAGGAGCGGAGGAAAGACGCCTCCCCAAGGTGGAAGAGGAGCGGAGGAAAGACGCCTCCCCAAGGTGGAGGAGAGGATGAGACGAGGAAAGACGCCTCCCCAAAAGGAGGAGAGGATGAGACGAGGAAAGACGCCTCCCCAAAAGGAGGAGAGGATGAGGCAAGGAAAGACGCCTCCCCAAAAGGAGGAGAGGATGAGGCGAGGAAAGACACCTCCCCAAGAGGAGGAGTGGAAACGATGAAGAAAGACACCTTCTGAAGAGAAGGAGGAGCAGAAGAGGACAAGGAAAGACTCCTCCCCAAGAGCAGATAGAGTGTAAGGGAACAAGGAAATATGCCTCCTCTAGAGGAGGAGGAGTGGAAGGGGGCAGGAAAATATGCCTCCCCAAAAGAGGGAGGAGTAGAAGAGATGGAGAAAGACACTTCGCCAAGTAGAGGAGGAGCAGGAGGGAAAGGAGACAAGACCTTCTCAAGAGAAGGAAGAGCAAGACATGGGGATTTAAATGCCTCCCCAAGAAAAGGAGGAGCAGAAGGAACGAGGCAATATGCCTCCTCAGCAGTAGGAGAAGCAGGAGGAATGAAAAATCCTGTAAAAAAAAAAAAAAAAAAAAAAATGGAGAAGTTACAGGAATAGCAGCGAAAGGAGTGTTGTATGTTTTCCTCCTGACATTATTAATGGCGGATAAATGTATTATGGACCTGACAGTTTAGTGGCATCATTTTAGACTGGGTCTCAAACACAGAGCTTCTCAAAGAAATTTAAGGAAATAAAACCATATCTGACTGGTTGAAACATTTTCTGGCTGATGACTTTTTTCTTGAAATAAAATACAGACATATTCACTAGTTATCGATTAAAACACAAGGTAAGAAAGAATTTAACCACCTGAGAAATACTGGGATCATCAAGAGTAGATTACTTCAAGAACCATGATAGAAACTTAACTGATCACAACATCTATCAAAGATGAAATTTAAATGTTATTATTGCATTATTCCAAAATTTTAACAGATTAGCAGATAGCTATTAATGTCAACAACTGAGCACAAGTAGCTATTAATTAATAAAAAAAGATTAGTAATTAATGTATAATATTATCCATAACTATATGTACAAGAATGTTGTTTTTGATAAAAGTGAAAAAAAAATAACTAAATACATAAAAAAATGCGTATATTGTCAAAAATTCCTTTTTCCACAATATAGCTATTTGTGCTATGTTATAATGCTTATTACCTAAACAATAATAGAGAATAGATTTTTTTTTAAAATGTTAAAGTATATTTAATCACATCTCCATAATAGCTTTCATGATCTGTAAATTAAAATTACAGAAGCTAATTGATTAGAAAAACAACTGCAAACATTTTTGATGCACCCAAATAGACACTAATATTTTGTCTACTTGATCTTTTTGAAATTCCTCTTCTTTATCAACCAATTATTTTCATCCTCATCCGCCCCCCCCCCCGTCAATCGTAAGTAATTTATATCTTTTATGAAGGTGTGTTATGATGAGTAAAATAGGATGGGGAGCTTAAGTAACTGTATTTTTCTTTTTGTATATTCTACAGAATTCTTTGACTTTAGACCATTTTCTTTATTCCCTGTTCCATGGTGTCAAAACCTACATAAGCAAAACTGTTTCAATTTGAGGTCATGAATTAACGTTCTCTCATCTTCAGTGATATTGCATACTGATTCAACAATATTTTGCCAGCCTTCTCTGTCCTTTGTGAGTTTGTGGAGGTGTTTCACATCTTCCTTGATTGTAAACTTCTCCAAAGGAAAAGTAGGACTTTCTGTCTTGTTGTTTGAATATCTTGGTTGAGTGTTGTGACTATGGTGGTTCTTGGATGACCTCTGAACTTTTTTGAAGTCAGTTTTTTCAAAGTAAAACTCCCTGGCTTTGTTAGCTGGGCATTCTGGATCCATTTGCAAAATGTCCAAGAAGTTTCCATCTTGCTTTCAAAATGAACAAAGAATGAAATTCTTCACATCTGCTGTACAAGTTCTTGTTGGAGATATTATGATGGTACTTTTTTCCTATCAAAATTCGCAGTTGTCATCTGTGGAAACTGTCTAGCTCATGCTCTTCTTTCTTTGTAAGGTCCCAAGTTCAACAGTTGTAAGTTAAATCTGGTTTCACCAAGGTGTTATACAGCTTTAATTTTCTCTTCTCAGATATTCTGTCTCCTTTTATCCATAGTTTATCAAACTTCTCCATACTGACGATTGCTGTTTCCTTCTCATGAAGTCTTCAGAATCTCCAATCAGTGAACCATCTTTCTTTACTTGTCTCCATTGCTCTGTATTTCTGTCTCCTCTTTTAATGATGGTGTGTTCTTTTTTATCTTCATTTATCTTCCAATTCCATATTGGAAAGATCCTTTCAGCAGCCGTAAGCATTCATGACGTTGGAAGTTCAAATAGCATTTTCCAAATATAGTCTTTCTCAGTATATGACATCTTAAATAGGTAATTACTGCATAGCAGTAACTGGAACAGCCATTACCTACTCTGCCAAAAGACCTACAAACTTATTTCATTCTTAATATTGCCTTTGGAATTCACTTTTATCTTAATATCAAGGATATAATTTCTGTCATTTATTTTTATAGGGTTGAACAAAATTAACAAGCATTTTGTTTTTCTCGACTATGACCAACAACTCTTCAAATTATTATTTAGGAGTTGCACATTGATCTTGGGCCATGGGGTCAACAAGACTCCTCACAACTCAAGAAAATTTCAGAGAATCCTTGTAGAGTAAAATGGTCGCTCTTTTCTGGAGATCTATAATCTCGATTTCAATTCCAATCTTCCCGAACTTGGTGTTCCAAACACACTCCAAAATTACTATAACAATTATTTACACAGTTATTAATTCTTTAACTCTGCAGCCAGATCCTGTAGTTTTTCAAATTATTATAGAATTTTAGATAGAACCTCTTATCCAGTGAGCAGAGAACGAAGGTGAGTTAGTGCTCTTTGCACAGTTAGCAGATTAACCAAGGGAATTAGTGCCCTTGGCACAGTTAAAGTTGGAGGTATGGTGGAGTAATGCCTTGCAGCTTGGATTGGCAAATTGGAGAGCAGAGTTTGAATTCTAGTTGAGTTCATTACATTCAGTTACCTGCTAATACCTTTGGAAAAAGTATTGTGATGAACAGTCCCATAGAAGCAAGTGAGCCAGAGTGGCTTGGATCTGGTGCATAAGAAAATAAGGGTCTTACCTTAATGTGCGTCACGTGATATCAGCAAGTTTGCTCCGTAAAAATGGCATTGCTCTCCTGTCAAGCAATTCCAGAAGTATGTGCAGTACCAAGGGTTTTTGTACAGTTTGGCATGCTTCCACCAGTAGCAAGTCGTGTGCTGATTGGTCAAACTGGTGGAGGTTATTTTCTTGGGTAACTGAGAATAAAAACGAAGAACACTGATTGGTTGGTCGACTATGGTGTTGGCCTGATAAAAGAGGGCTGAAGTAGTGAAAAGGGAAGAAAAAAAGACGGATTTACATTTTGAAGTGTTCAGAAAGCAAGAATGGCAGATTTAACCAGCAGTATCTTGATTTGTACAAGTGACGTCTTAGTAATAGAGACTCATTTAAACTACAGGTATGAATCTCCGTCTTCTCCCCACCGACCAAATAAATAGCAGGACAGACTGAATCCTGGGTGGCAACTGGTCTAGGAGATGGAAAACTGAATTCAAACCAACCTGGAGAGTTTTGGGCTCCATCAAGCTATGTTGCCCAAGACATGTCACTTTTGCTACAGCTTCAGTACATGTGGTGCCACTGTGACTCTAATGAGTCACGGGACTTGTGATCATTACAGAGAATTAGTCTGAACCTGAGAAAGGGTTGGAACAAGACAAACTGCAAGCACCATTCAGATTTACACCAATAGAAAACAAAAGATATTCCTAGGTGACAATTGATGACCTTACCTTAAATTAAAGGTTTTAGAATGCAAACCTCACCTATTGCAAGTAATGTTTATATCATGATTATTGTTGCTTTGCATTGCTACAGTTAATAAAAATGGTAAACATAATTTGGCACCTCTCTTTTCATTTCCCCTTTATTACCTCGCATTTATTATGGTTTCGGACCTCCTTCAAGTAGGGAGCCATCATAAAATAATGGCCCAACATTATTATTATCTTGGCCACATCCTGGTAATTTTTCTATTTATTATTATTTCCAGTTTTTGATACAAAGTCTTTTACCTGAGACCATTAAAGAATAACATTGTTTGCCTAAGGTCTCAGGTAAAAAGGCTTGGCAAAAGATCCTGTCAAACAGTAAATCAGAAAAACAATAACTGTCTATGTAGGAAGTATGGACAAAGTCAACGAGGAATGATGCCGTGTCAAATCAGGGAGAAGGTGTTCAAAAACAACTACATCAAGATTTTATGGGATTTCAACATCCAGACCGGTCGTGACCTTGAGGCCACCAAACCAAGGCATCAGCATTGTTGACAAAGAAGCAAGACAATTCCTTCTTACTGACAAAAAAAAAAAAAAGGAATGACAAGAATGCATTTTTTTCAGAGATTTTTTTAACTAATATGTACATAGTTATCACTAATTTGTCCCACACAGAAATTATAACATAGAAATACAACAAGCAGTGATAAAAATAGCGAGGGTCTTAATTGTAATATTTCCCAGTTGTAGGGAAGGCAGGTCAGTGGTGTCTTATCTTTTGATGAGAACATGTGGTTTTACCAGTGTTACTTTAGCTTGTTATATATCAGGTCAAAAATCTACTTTGGTATGTGATCTACACTCTTAGTTTCTATTTAGCAATTTTAGCCAATGTACATGCTGTTTATCACTAGAATATTATTAATAGAACATTTTAATTACATTTTCTATATATGCCTTAACTGGGTATTGAAGAGTATGAGTTCAATACCCGGTTAAGGCAGTGGAGAACTTGGTGAGGGGTATTAACAGGAGATAACTGACATCCATTAAAACATGGCACGTGGAACTAGAACAGTCTAACCCCAGTGAGTGAAATAAAGGGTTCAGTTCGACATTCCACCCACCTGAAGAAGGCCAGAACGTACAATGGCCGAAACATTATAATAAATATGGCGACAAAGATGTGCACAAAAATGTAAATAATGAACAAATTTTTTTTTTCCTAGTGCACCGTTCTTTATGTAGTATACTTTCTTGTATGGGTGTATACAATTATTAAACCTTACGAAGAGCATAAATGAAAAACTGTGAGAAATAAGTGATACGATTATCTGCCCTTGGCACTTTAAGGTTAGCCAATCAGCTTACAGTTGCTGATTGGCACACTTTTCTGCCTTTTTTTTTTTTTTTTGGTTTGGTTTGTTTTACGGCATATCAACCTCAATGGTTTATTTAATGCCGACAAAATTTTTATTGCTGTTAATATATACATATATATATATTTTTCAAAAAATGTATTTCTGGCAATATTTTTTCTTCAAAAAGGTATTGCTGATAATATTTTTTTTTCTTTCAAAAATATAGTGCTGCTAATAATTTCTTTTTTACAAAGTATTTCTGGTATTAAACTCTATTTTTACACTTTCATAGTGCTTTGATCCCAGTTTGGGGGTTAACTATTTACCCATAGCTGGGACCCTAACAGGTGCTACCATGCTCCTCAAAACCTCCTGACCAGAGGCCTTGCTATCAGATGTAGTTTATTTTCTTACCCAGGACGGTCCTTTTTTGAAGAACATTCACTCTTGGCAAGACTTACGAAATGAACACTTGCAGAACCAGACTGTTATACACTGTTATCACCACAGAGTCCGTAGATGGCGAAAACTTCAACTCTCCTTCAGCAGGTAAGTTTAGAGGCAGAGAACATTAAGTTTACAAGGACTTATTTGTAATATTGTTTAATACAACTTGTATAAATCAGAGGTCAGTCACGTTCTGTAGAACGTCTGCATTCACCACGTAGGGATTTTATATGGGGCCCACTTCAGTTTTCCATAAAAACAAATTTCTAGCCAACTTTGTTTTATCCTAAGAATCAGGATCAGAAATGTTTCATTGTGGAAAAAAAAGAAGAGATGGTAACATATAAGAAGAAAGAATTTTAAAAAGTTGATAATTGTGTAAGAAAAAAAAAAAATAGAGATATGGAGGAGGTAATGAAAACATGGCAAAAAAAAAAAAAAAAAAAAAATGGACATAACGTTTTATGGTGAACGTAAACAAAAGATGAGCAAATAAAAAAAATGGCAGAATAAATGGTTATTAATTAAAAAAAGCCTTGTTAATAAATAATTAATAAGTTTTAGGAGATAAAAATTACTTAAAGAACTATTGTATCAAATTACAAGGAGGAGGAGAAGCTTCTTTGTGATAAACAATTCGAAATCTACAATGACGGGTACCTAAAATAAAACTTGGATGATAAAGAATAAAAAACATTTTAAAATGACCATTAATCACAATATTTCGACAATCAGAAGAATAGAGAAGTGGTGGAATCTTGCAAAGACAACAATACTTAAGGGATATTATTTTTGGTAGAGTATCTTTGGCAGTTGACTCACAAAGAGATTTACTTGGGATTTGAAGACAAACAATAAAAAGAAGGAAAGATGACAATGAAGAAAAAAAAAATGAAAGAAAAAAACTAAAAAGAGTAAGCAAAACTCACTGTTGTATAAAATAAAATGTTTGTGCTCCTTGGAAACTGACACCACAATCTTGTCTCGTATTCTCTCCCTCTCCTTCTTGGAAGCCAATCAGCTGTGTTGCATCATGGGAGAAAATGAAGAATTACTTTAATCAACTCGATTTAGAAGAAAGTTTTTTTGTCTTTTTTATTTTCAATGAAAAAATTTGCAACATCTTTTTATTTTTATTTTAAATTTAAAATAAACTTTAAATAAAACAAAATTCAAATTTCTTTCTTGACATGAACCCTTTCAAAAAAAAAAAAAACAAAATTAAAAAAAAACTGAAGTAAAAAAATCATGGTTACCATATAAATCTTCCCTGAAATAAGTTCAGCTCCTTTTATTACTTTTGTCCTTGAAAAATGATTGGAAAACACAAAACTATAAAGAAGAAAATGCTCTGTGAAAAATGTTTCAGATATATGGATCCAATAAAAACAAAAATGGAATTTTAAAAAAATGTTCTTTTTTTATCGTATAAACCTACAAATTCAAAAGTGGACAGTTTCGAAAATTTATAGTTGCCTTTGTTGAAATTTTCTTAAACAATGGTGCAAGTAATTCTGTCCTGTTTCTTTTATTACCATACAGAACATAGGACAACAGTTCCAAAAATAGTGTTCATCTGGCTGCCCAAACCAACAAGCTTTTACTTTTTATTTTGTATTGCTATTCTTAATTAAAACATTTCACAACATTTGTTCACAAAATGTAGAAATTGAAAAAGAAGTTTGATGTGAACACCAACTGTACATTTTTTTACAAGTAGTACAGTTGGTGTACACATTGAAAATGACAATTTCAAAACATTTGAAATGTGCTGGAGCTTTTCAACTACTTTGAATGATATCTATGTAATGAACAAAACAAGATCTAGATAAAAATTCAAATGCTAAGCACTGACTCATTGATTTTGTTAGAAATTAAAGACTTGAATTTACAAACTTTTTGCTTAGCACACACGCAAAAGTGAATCCAAAACAAAACTCGTTAAATTTCACACCTTGATGTGAAATGTTTTTCGGCCAATAGAAAACTAGGAAACATTTAAAAGCAAAACTAAAATAATCTTCAATTCTCAGAGACAAATTCTTTTACAGATCTTTTTGCAAGCCGACGCAAAGTTTGTTCGTCGCCCAATGGAAAAGCCCGAATCATATCAGGGAGTGAATTCCCAAATGACATTTTCAAGCCTCACAAACAAAAATAAAAGATGGACAAGTTCGCCTGTCACCAGAGAGAAGGAGACCAGCATATTAACACGTCCCTTGACAAACGTCATGCGATGATTATTATTATCTCTACCTTTCTCCCTCACCTCTTTTATTCTTGATAAATGAACAGAACATTTTAAGACTGAGCAATTACTTCAAAGACATTCCTACCTTTCAATAATGCTCATACATACATACATACACACATACATTCCTGCCTACGTACACATAAACTCATTCTTGCAAGGACTACTACGAACATTTTGACAACCTTGTATCAAACAAAATACATTAATTTTATTTGTAAAGACCTTAATTGATTTATATGTATATAAATTTGTTGTTCACTTTACAATTTGATTTTCTTGTTTTATACCCCTCTTATGGTGGGCTATCTAACCAACAAGGCCAAATCAAACTAATTTGTTTCCACACTCATACACTTCACTATAACTGATAACCCACTATAATTTATTATGGTCCAACAATATTACCATCTTCTAAAATTGGACAAAAAACCAAATACCAACCCACTACATTATATGAGTAATACTTGCATTAATTTCTGATCTCTGACAATACCTTCTTCATTTTCTATGTATCCCGAATGTTGATAAAAGTTTTATTATTCTTAATATTCCCATTATTTCAACATTGCTTGCAGTAATTCCTGGCCACTGTTTATCCCTTTCGTTTTCATTTTAATGCATTTACACAGTACACTAGTAAAAATACTAGCAATGCATTTACACTATACATATAATAGCTGTTTTCTATCAGTAATGTTTGCCATTATTCCTGACCAATGACAATCCTTTTCTTCCTTATTCTTAATACATTTCTATAGCAGAATCATTAGCAACGTATTTTGATTACACATATCATAGGCCTATTAGCAATTCCAGATCATAAACAATCTCTAATGATAATGATTTTCAAGGTATTTCTAAAGTAAACCCCTTAACTATGCTTTTCCATCAGAGCCCTACTTTAACGTATGCACAGTCTGTCCATGAAAAATAGACTCCCCATGACAATGGCATTTTTTTCAAAAGACTATGCAAAGTCCTCTACCACATCATGTTTGTGTTTTACTTTTGGATTGATTGACTGATGCATTCTTTACAGTTTATCAACCCATGGTAGTGTATTTAAAGCCAGAAAATATCTTTAATTTGTAAGATTTTTTTTGTTTTTTTGTTAACATAATAGTGATTTAGTGATATAAGTCTTACTGATTAACCCACTGCTAGAGGGTGAAGAGTTGGATTCATACCTAATGAGAATTTGATAAACAAACAAGAAATTACAATGTGGATATAAAGTGGGGGATCAATTCTATGTTACACTCAATATATAAACTCTTCCCTCATTTTTTAGCTATGGTGGTCTCTATATAGTTATGTTCCAGAGAATGTAAATAAATCTAAAAGACATGCCTGTGTAGCTAATCACTGTTTAATTGATTTGTTTTTTTTTTACGGTTTATCAACCCTTTACTGGTTATTTATAGCCAGAAAATATATTTTGATTGTAAATTTTTTTTTGAGATAATAATGGTTCCATGATATAATTCTTACTAATTAACCCATAGCTGAAGGGGGAAGAGATGGATTCATACATTTCCTGAGGGTATTTGTGCATAAGTGACTATAACAAACACAACTGGAATTGGATCTCAGCTTTTTGATTAACAATTCCAAGCCATTATCCATTACATTACCTGTACATCTGTTATATACTGTACTTATGAACACTAATGAGTATATCCCAATCCTCATAAATGCGTTGGACACTATTGTAAGTGGGGTGGGTAATATGGTGTCTTAGTAGTCCACCACTAGCAGTGGTTTACCTACTTCATGCCGCTGGCGAGTATTGCATTTTGTTGTTGATATTATAAAGATTACCTTTTCCTTTCCAACCTCCATTTTGGTTATTCCTCATTCAGTAACCCTTTCTAGGTTACAACAACATCGAAGCTAACAGCACCTGGTATTCCCAAGTGGTCACCTATCTAGATACTGACCAGGCTCAATGTGGCTTAACTTTGGTGATTGTACAGGAACTGAAGTTTCAATGTGATGTGGCTGTAAGCTTTTTACTTTTGGGGAAAAAATACCAAAATTCACAGAGAGCATAATGTTTAGGTTGTAGAGTGGGGGGGGGGTATGTTTAAAACATGACACATTAGTAATGTGATGTTTTATAAAATAAGAAAACACAATGGAGGTAAAGTATTCACTTGCTCAGTCACACATTGTTGAAACAGTACAAAAGATCATTTACTTTGTGTCTCACTACCGATGGGTTAAGAGGGTCTCTGTTCATACATGCACAGTAAGGTCACCTCGGGTTGGTTTCCAAGTTAAATGCAAGCTGTGCAACCAGTTCTCTTTATATTCAAAATGGCCGAATACATTCGAGACAGATCTCATGTGTATATAAAAATCAAATATGTCAGGTATCCAGAAAGCACAGATCATAACACATCAGAGGGACAATATAAATATATTCTGATGTCTGTGATATAACAGCTGTTGGTTTTGTACTTTAAAAACAAAGGAAGATAAAAAACAAAAAATGAATTATTAACATCTTATTTTTATGCTTCACTAGTGTTTCCATTTCCTTACTGATATTTTAGGTACTAATTTCCGCTACCTTTGGTTGCCTGGTGCTTAAGGGACACTTCATTCATGAAGATTTTGTTTAGAATAAGCATAACAATGAAGAATAAAGGAGAACAACGATGGCATGTTAGTCATGGTTCTGGTCGAAGATAAACCAGAAATATCCAATGCACAAATATCCATGAAATTGAACAGTCAAGTTCTAAATATTTTTGTGTTTTTTCTAATAACATTCTTTTGGTATCTGTCTATATTTCTGAGATGAGGTATTATGTACACTATTTACATTATTCGGACTATTGACCTTATCTTTGTTGCCATATTTATTACAACGTTTCAGCTGTTGTATGCTTCGATCTTCTTCAGGTGGTTGGAATGTTGAACTAAACCCTTTATTTCGCTCACTGGGGTAGACTGTTCTAGTTCCACGTGCCATGTTTTAATGGATGTCAGTTGTCAGTTATCTCCTGTTAATTCGCCTCTCCAAGTTCTCCACCGCCTTAACCAGGTATTGAACTCACACTCTTTGGGTCCTGTCACTGGATCTAACTAAAGAGTGTGAGTTCAATACCTGGTTAAGGCAGTAGAGGTGAATTAACTCAGTTTCTCAGCATTTGAATCTCTCTCCTGACTACCGTTTGATCTGGGTTTTCATTTGCATGGGACTTTCTTTTTCTTGCTGCAGCCTTGGCTCTTTTGATTTGCAATCTGGTCCTCTGTTGGCAGAGATTTCTTTTTGTGAGGCATGCTGCGATAGGCAACAATAAACTACAGAAGAACTCAAAATTGATTTCTGCATTAAAATATTGCATTAATACTTAAGCTTACTTTTTAAAAGTTCAATGATAATTCTTCTGCTGCCACTTAATTTAAAGACAATTATTATATGTATGTATATGGACTACTTTCCATAACAATTTTTATTTCATGGGTGACTTTCGCTGGATTTCACAATTAATTTTGATTATACTCAAATTTATTTCCAAGTCCTAAAATTGTTATTGCACCAAAAAATTTGTCACAAAAATCATATAAAAAAGTCACCCAAAAAATCACAATATTGAAAACTTGGGAATCCAAAATTTCATGGTTTGCAGGTCTGGATCTAACCTAGAATTTTTTAATTTGCTCATGGAGTTGGCCTGATTCCAAAATAGGAAGATATATTGGGGTATGGTTTCTAGGAGTAAAGTTGAAAAAGTGTGACACACTGACATTCACATTTATTTATATAGATAAAAGAAAAGTTTGAGTAAAATGAATTTATCCAAAAACCTTTGGCAGGAATCAAAGAAAATAAATCTTAAAACTCCATTTGTAAATTTCTATAAGAATGATAATATTAAAGAATATTTTTTTATACTCATGTTTCCATCATATCCTGCCTGTCAATGGGCTTGGGTGGTGTTTTTGATTAATTTACCATGGTGTAGCTAATTCCATTAGCAGGATGGAAAGAAATAAACTTTCCACAGACATTTCCTTAAAAACTTTTTTTCTCTTTTGAGATTTATCAGTTTTCAAATTTTTGAATTCTTTATTTTCATTATAAACAGAAGACTTGAATATTGTTTGTGAAAATGTTTGAAAAAAAAGCACATTTCCAGTATGAGACTGGATAAAGATAGTTAAAAAAAAACAAAGACAGGCTGATGTAATTTGGGACTTAAATGATTGATTACATAATTATCGCAAGTTAATTAAAAGATTTGTATTTAAAAATAATCCTTTTAAGATTTGTTACTCAATTAAAATGACAAGCAACTATTTAATCAAGGTTTGAAACATGAAATATTACAGAATGTCTAATTTCTTTCAATTTCTCCTTTTACATCGAAAAAGCATGCCAGTGCATGGCAAAGTGTGATCAGGAATGACATCGACAATTGACATTGCTTGAGGTAGGTATTACTGAAAAAGACAAGAGTTTTTTTTACAGTTGTATCATCAACCCTTTGATTATCATGGGGGAGAAGCACTAGGAGGGGCAGATTTTTAAAACATATTGATGAATTATTGGGTAACAATACAAAGGTCAAAGCAGACTGTTTTTTTGGCCTGTTGATTAGAGAAAGGAAAAAACTGAGTGCCTCATGGATCAATTTGCAATAGTGAGCTCAAAGAATGTAAAAACGTCATATAATATAATTTAAAAGATTAACGAAACAAATGAAAAATAGAAAATACAAGGAAACTGGTACTTACAATGAGAATGAGATAGCTGAAATTTCTAGAACATGTAATGAGGAAAGAGGGCCTAGAAAATTTAACACTTACAGGACAATCAAGAGAAGCAGAAGAAAGCAGGCAGTAAAATATATAATGAGTTTGTGGGAATAGAAAGCAGAAACAAGACAAAGGTAAAGGGGGGATTTATTCAGAATAACAAAATACAGGAAGTTGTGGAGAGGAAAGATTGTCCATAAATTAAGAAGTAAATCATTTGGGAACATAAATAAATACAGTAGAAACCCTCATATCCGAAATGCTTCACATCCGGAATCTCTTATATCCAGAATCCCTCATATCTGGAATCCCTTATATCCGGAGTGCCTCATATCTGGAATCCTGTACATGATTTTCATATGTATATTTGAACTATTTGGGTGATATGTAACAGATTTGAAATTTCTGGTTTTCAGGAAATTTACTTTAGATAATCGCCGATGCTTATTTCACCCTAATGGCTTGTATTGGTGCAAAAGATGATGGAAATTAGAGGAAAAGAACAAAAAGTGGAAATTTTAAACAGGCTAGATGCTGGTGAAAGTTCAATGTAACTGATGGCCAGGCTCACCATAGAAAGTCAACATTGTATGATATAAAATCTTCGAAAGAAACTATTCTCCAGCATTCACACTGTCACAATGAACAAGGAAATAAAAAACATGATTGTGATGAAACCTGGACTGAAATTGAAAAAGCTGTTGAAAAGGTTATCAGTTTTATGGAAAGAAAGCCAGCATTCAGCTATGATGATTGCAATAACACACACAGAGTTAAAAAGTGTCTTTCATTTAAAAAATTTCAAGAACATAAGCAAAACGAAATACGGAAAAAGTTGAGAATGACATTAGAAGAGAAAGAATCATCATGCAACAGCGATTAAAAAATTCTTGTTACATTATTTGTTTTGCATACGTGGAATACTTAATTAAATGAATTTTCATTAACATTACATAATTCATTTCTTTTTCCTTAAAATCAATTCCGTTATACTTCACTCACCATTAGCTTATTTTATTTGCTATAAAACATTGAAAATAAATGTTTATACTGATTTCATTTCTTTTATTTTAATCTAAATACAACCCCTCATATCCGGACTTTGTAACCTATTCCTCATATCCGGAAGGTCTTCTTAGTCTGGTTGTCAAGGATTCTAGTGTATCATAAAGTTATCTGATGGGTGTCATCATATCAGATATTTAGGGGTGAAATTTCAGTGATTGACTTAGGCACTGTTTTCTGTAGATGTATTCATGTGACTTTTTATTAAGGGGCGATTGCACTTATTAACCCCCAAATTACTGGATCAATAAGAAAAATTATAACTGAACAAAAGAAAGTTTTTACCATAGATAAGCTTTCCATTTTGGGCAAAAAAAAAAAAGAATTTTAATCAGCTGTATAATTAATAGAAAGCACAAAGATTGTGAAGCAAAGTCGATAAATGATTAGATGAAAATCAAGATATTGCTCAATAAATGAATATGATTTTTAAATAGATATTTTTAATCTGGCGTTATTTCACGTTACTAATGTTGCAGCACTGTTCCTAGGGAGACTAAAATTTTACATGAGATCTGAACGTGCATTGGACTAGGTAGAAGAAACATTCTTAAATTGAAGCAAAGTGCTGAGAAACGGAAAAATATCATTAAAAACAAAGAAAAATGTGCTGGATTGCTATGTGTTATCCATCCTCTGAATGCTGGACAATTTCCCCATGGATGAGGAAATAACTAGGGGCAGCAGAAATGTGGTTCTACAGAAGGATACTGAAAATTCTATCTGTGGAGTGAGTAAACACCAAGGAAGTCTGAAAAAAATGGCAACAGAAAAAACACTCAGAATCAGGAAAAAGAGAGCTGAAATTCCTTGAATACATAATGAGGAAGGAGGACTTGGAAAATTTAACACTCAAAGGGCATACTGAGGGCAAGAGAGTGGAAGTTTTGGTTCCAATCCAATTATGAGAATGATTGCAAAATACTTTCCCCTCTCAGAACTATACAAATGCATGCTGGGATTTATTCCTAGCCAATAAAATAGGCTGGTTCTCGGTTTTATCTGACTCAGTCCTTGTCTGTCTTGTCTTGAAATCAGAATGCTATGTTTGCTTGTTCAAACTTTCATTTGTCAACTCCAATTTTTAGTTTGTGAACCTTTTGCCATATTACTGTTGTTTTGCCTTAATATTATTAATTTGCCTTATTATTGTTAATTTGCCTTGCATATATTGTTTGCTTGTTTAAGATTATTTTTTGCCATGTTCTTTTCTTTTTCTTGTTATTGCTTATTGCAAACTTTGTCAATTCTGTTTGTTGGGCAATTCTGTCATTTATTTACATTTAACCATGTCCGCTCACTCTACAAGAAGGCAGCAAACCACTTACCTGATGAGCTTGTGTGAATGGATGGTGGGCTTTAACAAAGGTAGAAAACTGTTAAGGACCACATGAGATGAGAAGTTGTGGAGAGCCATCATCACCTGTGTCATTAAGTAAGGGTGTAAGGAAATAAAATAAATTTCAACAAGGGGACATTTTATATTTTTGTTTTTATATAACTGGGTAAATAAAGAGAGAAAATACATGAGTATTCTTGTAAAAGAAAGAAAAGATTAAAGTTAGCAATTGTGTGGGTGATATATGTGCGTGAGAAAGAATTCACTAAGGGGTAAGCATTCATTGGACGATGTCCCAATTGGAGTTATTTCTACTACATGCTAGAATATGAAGAGAGAAAAGAGAGAAAAGACAGGAGGTGTCCTGTTTTTATAGTTGCTTAACAACATCACTTAATGGTGTCATGACCAAACTAAGTGGGGTTAACCCACACAATAAATGTTATTTTTAGTGTGCATATGTGTTTGAGATTGTTATATCCAATATCCATTGCTACATATTCCTGAAAACAGTTATTATATCTAGGGGATGGTTACAAAGGAAACACATGAGATGCGAAGCCTTTTCTCAAAGGGGGAAGTCATGTTGGTGTTGTTGATAACTGTCTTGTCAGCCTGGTACTGTGTCTGTCATTTATAAGGGGCTTTCTTTTATGCAAATCTGAATGTGGACTCGATGTTATGCTTGGAGTACCTGCAATTTTTCTTTGGGGTTTTGTTTTCTTAGGACTCACATCTGACCAACATATAGACTGAATCAGTATAAGATTTATTTGCAGCGGAGCATTTTTTTCTTAAATAATGAGATTAATATCAACTGGCCTTATGTTTAGTAGGATATTATGATCTAGGCCAGTTTGATTTGGTTTGGTTTGGTTTGGTTTTGGTTTGGTTTGGTTTTGGTTTGGTTTGGTTTGGTTTGGTTTGGTTTGTTTTATGGCATATCAACCTCAATGGCTTATTTAATGCCAACATGATTTTTATTGCTGGTAATATTTTTCCAAAAATGTATTTCAGGTTATACCCTTTTCCTTCAAAAATGTATTTTGGTAATATTTTTTCTTCAAAATATATTGCTGGTAATATTTTTTCTTCAAAAATGTATTGCTGGCAATATTTTTACAAAAATGTACTGCAGGTATTAAAGCCAATTTTTACGCTTTCATAGTGTTTTCACGCCAGTTTAGGGGTTAACTATTTTCCCATATTTGGGGCCCTAACAGGTGATACCATCCCAGGTCAGGGTAGACCTGGAAACACCAGCAATGAAGAGATGGTTCCATGCTCCTCAAAACCTTCTGATCAGAGGCCTTACTGTTGGATATAGTTTGTCATCTTACCCAGGATGTGGATGTAGTTTATCATCATACCCAGAACAGGTAGAAGTTGTATGCAGCTGATAGTTTAGATATTTATGAATGTGTCTGGCACCATGCATGACATCAATATGAAAGTCTCAATCTGATGGATAACATCATCTATGATTCCAAATTCTCCTTAGACAGCAAATTTCCTAACCTTTTAGATTTGAAAATGTCTTCTCACATTGAACTTGAGTAAACTGATTGTATGTATATAGCTTTATAAAGATTTTTTATGAATAAAAATCAGTATTTTTATTGCATTTTTATTTGATGCAGAGGCCAGTCCATCACTGGTTCTGGTAGTATATAATGTCTAACTAAATATTAGTCTACTAGATAGCTCACCTTCAAATATAAGACAGAAGACATACATACAGGGTAATTGAAAAATAACTCTACATTTTAAAATACTTATAATTTATTCATTAATTATAATTTTTACAAGAAATGGACATGAGAGGGAAGCATTTAGCACAAGGCATAAT